GGGGGAGAAGTGGGCCCTGGTCAGAGGAGAACCAGCAGCACCTCAGGTGCTGGCTTAGGCCATCAGGCTAAGGGTGCCTAAGGAACAGAAAGAATGACAGGTTAGGGAGGATGCAGATGGGCAGATAATGAAACCCACCTCAACAGAAGGGAAAGCACAAGAACAGAAAAGATGCTGCCTCCTTCCTGAATAAAATATTCTACATAATCCTGCGACCAATGGACGAAACTGGAAAGCCACGTGGCAACGCATTTAAGTTATCAGTTTCTCATTTGCATTGGCAGTGACTTCAATGGCTATAATTACAAACAGTCTTTTATAAGATTACACTAGGAATAATTTTTTTTTATTGATCTTAGAGAGAGGAAGGGAGGAAGAGGGAGAGAGAGAAATGTCGATTAGGAACCGAACCCACCACCTTTTGATGTATGGGACAATGCTCCGTACAGCTGAGCTCTGTGGGCCAGGGCAAGAATACATTTTGATTATCAAGGCTGATATCATAGAGACTTGAAATCTTTTTAAAGATTATTCCATTGCAGGAACATTATTTATTGCCAAGCACCCATCTGTTTTGCATTTTAGTACTAACTTTTTTATCTTCACACTCATTTCACTGAGAAGTTTCTAGGGGTGGTGTTGGAGACAGTAGTAGTGGTTGTTATTTTGATAAAAGTACATTATATGCTAGGAAAGCTGAATTTATTTCAGTTTCTCTTTTGCAGAGCAATTAAGCAGTGCAATTGCCTCAACCTTCCAATCAATTGTAAAAAATAAAAACTGTAAAAACTACCATTCTCCGAGTTATTGCTTTTTTTTTCTAAGCAAACTTATTATTTTTCATTTATTTGAGTAGCTGGCACACAATATTATATTAGTTTCAGGTGTACAACAGTGGTTCGACATTTATATACCTTATGATGTGATCACCACACTAAACGCAGTCACCATCTGTTCACCATACAAAGTTATCACCATATTATTGGACTATATTCCCCTTCACTGTTTTCACCCATCCCCCAACCCCCTCCCCTCTGACAACCATCAGTTTGCTCTCTTTAGACCTTTATTTGCTTATAATTTTTTCACCACCCATCTCTTAATTTTCTATAACCTGACTTCTGGTCTCACTATTTCACCAAACCTACTCTCATTAAAGCTTTCTTCTTTAATCGGATCCTCCTAGAACCCATCACCACCTTTGACATTTATGTCCACACTTTCATACTTGGGTGGCACTCGAAGCCCATATTCTATGACAACACTCACTCACAGTCTGAGAGGAAAAGGCACCCACTGAAAGCAAAGCGCTGGAGGGGAAATTGTATATGAATGAATTTAGTTGTAAGTGCTCAGAGGCAGAGCTGAATCACAGATGGGGAGCAGTTAGGAAGAATTTTTATTTTAAATCCAAGAGCCTTAGAAGTCATCTAGGTGAATACCTTCATTTTATAGATGAAATAATGAGGTACAGAAAATGTGTCAGTTAGGATGCCTTTGGTTACAACAGAAAACAGCAACTCAATTTGGCTTAAACAATAAGTAACTGTGCTACACCATAGGTGGTCCAGACACAGTATCTACACTGCTGCTCTTCTCTGTGGCTCCCTTGGCCACTCTACCTTCCAAGTGTTAGCTTCAACTTCTGGATGTGAACAAGATGGCCAAGCAGCTTCAGGACTTACATCAGAGTCCTGGCAGTTGAGGGAGGAGAGTAAGGGGGAGGGAGAGTGTGTCTTTTTCTTGAGTCTCTTCAGAAGCAAAGAAACCTGACCAAGAAGCCCTAAGAAGACTCTCTCTTATCACCTCCCCATTTCTAAACCCATCACTGGCAAGGGAAATGGGATTCCAAGACTCCTTCAGTTTAAGCCTGGGGCTAAGCTTGGAGTGCTGAGGAGTCAGGGTTATTTAATAGGCTATAATCCAAACGTTACTTCTAGAACTAAGCGATATCTTTGATTCTTACATCTGTCCTACTACACTTCTCAGAATTCACTTGCTTCTTTTGCTCATTAGTGATGGATTCCACTCTTCTCTCTTTTTGCAAACTTCTCTACAGAGGTCATGTGTTCTTTTTGTAATTATGTTAGGCTTCTGTGGAAGTGGCATAGGGTAATGATAAGCACTGACTTCAGAGCCAGACTGCCTGGGTTCAAATATAGGCTCCTACCACTTCTGTGTGTGTCACCTTAGGCATGTCATTTAATCTCCTTCCTCACCTATAAAAGGGGATAATAATAAAACCTACCTCATGCAGATGTGAGAATTAAATACATTACCATATATAAAGTGGTCAGAACAATGCCTGTTATACAATAAGTCCTCTACAAGTATGTGCTATTATTTTTAAGGGGCATCTACTGGTTTTGCCTGCCCAGCATCTCTTCCCCTTCTTTGTTCAAATGTTTCAGTTTTCCTTTGAAGAACTACCCCTCTCCATGTCATATGAGCTTGGCACAGTTCTCAGTCAGGATGAATTGGTCCCAACACCTACTGGGCAAAAGGTGGGCACAAGGTCCAAAGTCAGGTCTTTTCCCCTGGAACCTCAATCTTAAGGAGAATGACTCAGAGAGAAAACAGTTAAAATTCAGTCTCTCTGGTGTCAAGGCCTTGAACAGGTTTTTCCCAAGTTTTTGCCACCTACACCCCTGTACCTGGTTGTCCTTTCCAAAATCTGATTAAGTTCTTCCTTTGATTTCTTTAGGTATCCAATTTCCTTTAATAAATCCCTTTTTGCTGAAATTAGCCAAAATTGATTTGTGTTGTTTGTGTGTGTAAACAATATGTTGAACAAATAGGCCTCACCAAATTAAATTGTGAAGTAACCTTATATTTGTCTCTCATTGTCTCTTTATATCTATTCAAAAGCCAACTCTCCTCTGGCCTCTGCATAGAAGTTAAAACAGTGGCTTGGAAGTCAAACATTTGGTACTCAAATTCTAGCTTCACCTCCTGCTAGCTATGCTGCTTACTCTCTCTGCCTCAGTTTCCTTACCTGTAAAATGGGGGAATAACAATACCTACCTCATTGGGTTACTGTAAAACTTAAATGACTTCCCAAATTCAAAATGCCTGGAAATATGATTGGCACATAGTAAGTCCTAAAAAATGTTAGTATCGCTGATGGCAATGGTGGTCCAGTGAGGTTATCATTCTTTTTTTTTTTTTAATATATCTTTATTGATTTCAGAGAGAGGAAAGGAGAGGGAGGGAGAGAGAGAGACAGAAACATCAATGATGAGAGAGTCATTGATCAACAGCCTCCCGCACGCCCCCGACAGGGGATTGAGCCCGCAACCCGGGCATGTGCCCTGACTGGGAATTGAACCCTGATCGCCTGGATCCTAGGTCGAAGCTCAACTGCTTAGCCACGCCCGGCCGGGCGAGGTTATCGTTCTTCCTCACAACCCCTGATGGACTTGTTTCCATACCTATGCCCACACTAGCCCTCTCTCCTTCTTTAAATCCTTCAAGACACTAATTCAAGCACCACTACTTCCACAAGGCCTACACTGATCTACAAAGACCACATTAACCCGATACTTTATTTGTAGAAATTACATAATCTGTAGTAGATATATTAGCCTTTTTTTTTTTATCCTCACCTGAGGATATTTTTTCTGTTGTTTTTCAGAGAGAGTGGAAGGAAGAGAGAGAGACAGAGAGAAACATTGTGTGAAAGAGACATATTGATTGGCTGCCTCCGGCACACACTCAACCGGGGCCAGGGATGAAGCCTGCAACCAAGGTACGTGCTCTTGGTCATATTCGAACCTGGGACCCTTCAGTCCTCAGGTCGATGCTCTAACCACTGAGCCAAACCGACTAGGGCAGATATATCAGTCTTAATTCACATTGTTTTTAATTACACCTATGTGTATATCATAAGTACAAGAAAAGTGTTCCTTGAGGTCAAAAATTATATTTCATATTCTTTTATGTTCTTCATAGTACTTAGTCCAGAGTAAAGCTCACAGTAAGTCCTTAATAATTAACTTTTGAATGGCCCTTGCTAAATGTATTTCCAATCACAATTACGTCTGGGTTTGTAAAGCTGCAAGCCCTTAGGCCTATGCTTTAGTATATGTGCTGCTGAGGTGAGCGCATGGCCCATGATTTTACTGTTGTATAAGCTTACAAAAAGGTAGGTTACAGAATTTTCCATTTTCTTCCCACAGTGGCTCATACACATGAGCATCCAATTAATGATCTACAAAAAAGTTAAAAACTTAGGGAGCTGAAAATTAATTCCAAATATAATAGGAAATTCCAAATGTATCTGTTAAGGTTGATATTTGAATCTATGGTGCTGAAAGGTCTTGTTTTGTATAAAAACTAAAAACATGAAGATAAGGAGAACAGATACTCAAACACTTTTTCCCCTTCTGATACATTTTTTTCTCACAGAATTGTCGATGGACAAGTTTGAGAAGGTAGCTATGGTATCTTTTCATTGTCATGTTTCTGGAGAAATGTTCTTTTATTTTTGAAACTCTGCATAACATAAAGTATACCACCTTCTCTAATTTCTCTAAGCATTTGAAAAAATATACACAGAAATAAAAACTTCTCACTAATGCCCAGAGCATATTATTTACATATATGCAGATGGCACTGTTTCATAGCTAAGTTGGCAGTTTTTTAATCATGTGGAAAAGTCAACTGACAAAGAGAAACGGAAAAAGTCTAGACTCAATTCCATGTGAAGCTGTCTGTGAAATGGAGATGCATAAATTGACTCACTTAATTGATTCTAGGAACAAGTTTATATTACATCTAAGTCACACCTCTATAAAATTCCATACCTGCTGGCTTATTGTTGTTTACTGGATATGGTTATCTGGTTAAGAAAAACATGTGGTTTTTTCCTAAATGCTATCCACTAGGAATTTTTCAACCAGATCAACTCTTCATTGTTTTTGTTTCTACAGAACACTCTAGGAGAGAAAGAACATGGAAAAGGGAGAGGGATGAGAGGGAAAAAAATCTACACATCCTACTTGGATTGTGCGAGGCAGCCCGGTGCAACCATATTCTGATTCTCTTCTTCACTCTGCAGTGCAGTGAGCTCTACCATGTTAACCATCACATCATTGGTGTGGCCAGGAAGCTGGGGAAGCACTGAAATGATCTTCTCTACCAAGTTGTCTCCATGATGTCCAACCGCTCCTGTTTAAGCAGGCAGAAAATATGAAATCACAAAATGGGAGGAAAAGAAGTTGGATTAATGTTTTATAATGAATGGCCCTTCTACCAAGAATAACAAACGTTTTTAGTTTCTGCTACAAAATCAATAACACAAGCCTAGCATTTTGCCCTCTGTAACACTAATCAAACTCACAATTACCTAGTAGACCTGTGCTGTGTGTGTTGGACTTAATGCTCCATGAGGGTAGATACTGTGTCTTCTCTGGTTACTACTATATTCCCAGCACCTAGTACAGTGCCTATTGATATGGTAGGAATCAATAAATATTGAATGGATAAATAAATTATCAGCAGATAGTCCACCAGGTAAATGGTGTCATAGGATGATACTACTCTGAAATTTTGGAGCCAAATTTTACTGATGATCATAAGACCGGAAGGGCTTACAGACCTGACAAAGAATAGCAGATTTCCCCTCTGCTAGATCCCTACCTTCATAATGGCAACTGTGTATCTAGTTTACCCTATACTCACCATATCTGGCAGGCAACTTGGCAGCTAATAGGTTCTCACTATATATTTGCTAGATAAAGGAAATAATAAATGAATGAATGGTAACAGTTTGCAATGACAGTAGTATTTATAGGGTGCTTTCTGTGTACCAGGGACTGCTGTAGGTGCTTTAATGTATTAACTCTTTTAATAACAAATGAATCAATTAAATCAAATTGCAATTCAAGACCAATGACACCATTTAATACATTTCCCATGAAACTAAGTTATCTTTCCAAAAACCATTATTGCTTGAAAGACCTCGTCCCAACAATGGGTGGGACTTGTAACATTTACTAGTTTAGATCCCACCCCCTTCAAATCAATTAACATTTTGCTTCCTAATGTCTATCTCTTTCTCTACCTTTTTATTGTTTTTTGCCATGTCATATTATTTGGATAGAAAAACTAGGTAGAAAAGACCCAACCAGGTATTCAAGAAATCACCATCATGACCATCATCATCTTTATCACAATAGCTAACATAGCTAATAGCTAATTTATTGAGAGCTTATGATGTACCAGGTATTAAGCTCAATACTGTACATTTGTTATCCACTTACTTCTTACAACTCTAATAGGTAGATATTAATATGCTCATTTACAAAGTAGAAGATTCAGTTTAAGTAACTTGCTCAAGATTACACAACTTGTAAATTACCAAGCAAAAATTCAAATTCAGGAGGCAGATAACCCCCAAAACTATATCCTTTATTTAAAAAAATAATCAGGCTCAGAAAAGTGACTTGAGACACAGCCAGGCCCTGGCCGGTGTTGCTCAGTGGTTAGAACATCGGCTCACACATCGAAGGGTCTTGGGTTTGATTCCTGATCAAGGGCATGTACCTGGGTTGCAGGTTCTATCCCCAATCAATCCAAAGCAGGCCCAGGTCAGGGTGTGTGCAGGAAGCAACCAATCAATGTGTCTCTCTTGCATTGATGTTTCTCTTTCCCTTTCCCTCCCTCCCTTCCACTCTTTCTAAAAAAAATAAAAAATGACACAGCCAGCATGAGTGCTTTTAAGGTGACTTTTGGTGTTAAAAAAGAGTTCTTGCATCAGTAGAATATTCATTGATTAGACCTGTAAAGAACCAGATCTTATTTATGTTGTCTATGTTTTATGGTTGTCTCCCCATTTCTCAGACTATTAAATACTTGCTGAATGAATGTCTAGTGACTATAAGTGGCCCTGAGATCCAGAGGTGGGTCAAAAGTCTCTAAGTGAAATATATCTTTAAACTAAGCCTGGAATGGAGATGCATTATTTTTTTAATTCTCACCCAAGGGCATATATAGATAAAGGAAGGGAAAGAGAGAGAAACATTGATTGGTTGCCTTCTGTATGTGCCCCGACCGGGGATCAAACCAGAAACCCAGGCATGTGCCTTGACTGGGAATTGAACCAGCAACCTTTCAGTGCACAGGATGACACTCAAACAACTGAGCCACTCTGGCCTGACTGGACATATGTTATTAATACTCACTTAAAAAAAAAAAAAGTCAACAAACTCTCTATGATAATTTCATGTTTTGTTGTACAGTTTCTTTCCACAAGGCCATCTGTTAACACCTCTCCAACAAATTAGAGCCCTCTTCCGAAAAACTGTTGTGAATACTGGCATCTGCACATTTCTAAAAGGTTCCCAGATAGCAGTTCTCCTCTACATTTACATTTTTTCCAATCTCTTGGGCTAGATACAGTTGTCGTTTAACCAGGCAGTGCACACTGAAGATGTATCTAACCATCACAGCATTTAACAAACTGATTGCAACTGCTAATTTGCGTGTCTGTATCTCCCTCTAGGCTATAAATTCTGTGAGATCAGACAGCGTGTCCATCTAGTTCATCTTTGTATCCTCAACCTGGCATACAGTAAGAGGTAAATAAAATATATGCTGAGTCAATGAAAGTCCCAGAACCTTGGAGAGTGGTTATGAAGACCTGCACAGCAATCCCATTTACCTGTGAGATCCAAAGTTCTGTCCACAAAGACCACTGAGGCCCTGCTTGCAGAAGTCTTCCTCCTGTTCTTCGCAGGGGCATAATTGGCCAGATCTGCAGCTATGATCCGACTGAAGGAACCTACAGCAAAACACTCCTCCCGTACTCCTAAATGTTCACACAGAGAACTGAGGCCTGACACCAAGCACCTGATCTGCAGTAGCAGCTCAGGGGGCAGGGCAGAGGCATCCACCTCACCCAGGCTCCCCAGCCTCCTCTTGTCTGGTCGGGCACTATTAAGAACATGCACATCCTGAGGTAGCAGTGGAAAAAGGGAAGCAAAGGCTGGAGTCAAGGCGAGGTGGGGAGCAGCAGGGGCTAGCAACAACGGGATGTGCAGCACCTGGGCGGTGTAGTTCATGTTGCCCATCCACTCACACAGCTTCTCCTCCAGTTGCTCAAACACCGGCTGCTGCCCCTCCAGCTCCGCCGCTGCCGCCGCCGGCACCTGATTAGCCGTGAGGTGGACGGCGTGGCTCACGGCCGTGACCACCACGCAATACTGGAAGTGACTGCGGCAGATGATGTTCCGTAGAGTCTCCACGGTTCGGCCTTTCAGCAGGCAGCTCAGCACAAACACCGCCTTGGGCTGTTTAGCTCCGCCACCAGCTGCTGTGGGCTCGAACTCCCGCAGGTGACACTCAGGACCCCCCACCGCCTCCAGGAGCGCGGCGGACCCGCAGCCCCAGTGCAGGCTCTCGGCGCAGGCGGCGTCCAGGTACACCACAGCGCGTTTCAGTTTGGCCAGCACCTGGTCCCAGCCCTGCTGGGTAAAGGACTGTATTCCCGGGACACTCATAGTTGGGGGTTCGCAGGCTCGGGCGCTCAAGTGCAAGAACTTTCCTCAGAACTCACCGCTTCCGGGACTTGGGCTTCTCTCAGACTTTGACAACACAGTACACGCGGTGCCGCGTCCTATTTGTCCAGTGGCTGCGCACGTTGATGACGTTGACGGAGCGTGATTGGCTGGCCGTGGGCTCCAGGAAGCACGGAAGAACGCAGCGGGCTGGGAACGGGTGGGCGGGGCTTCGTGGCTCGGGGTTCCGGCACGTGGTGGGCGATGAGGGGCCGCCTGGGCATCGCCGAGCTACCTTCCTTTCACCTCCCTGTCTGCGCAGGTTACCTTTCCCTGCCCGCGAGAATCCCAAGTTTGATACGTCCTTAGATATGAACACATCTCCTTAAAAGTACGCTCACTTTCTTCATTTAAACTCAGAGAAGCCTAAGATAAAACAACCACCTGTGATGTTTTGTAGTTTATGGATGTCACATACGTTGTTGCACACAGGCCTCATGACCAACCTACCTCGTTTTCACTTTCTCCATTTTTCCTCCCCCAGCTCATTGTCGATAAATCGTAGTCTGCTTAAAAAGTCTTAGAATCCAGCCCCTTCTCCTCATCCTTGCTGTCACTGCCATAACTCACCATCGTCCCTCACCTGGACAACTGCAGTGAGTTCCCCCATCATTTCCCAGCTTTCCAGCTCTTCTCCCTGAATTCAGTTTTCTTTATAATAAGCTAAATTGATCCTATGATTTTCCTGCTTAAAAGCCTCTCCTGGCTCAGATGCTTACAAAATACAGCCAGACTCCTTAAAATGGCACCAAAATCCTTCGGGATTTCTCAGTTTCTCTCCAGCTACTCCCAGCCTGGAACATACACCTACATAATGAAGTCAACAGATTGAGCCCAGACTGTTTCATGGGTTCAATTCATTCAATTAGTATTTATTAAGCACTCATGAACCATAATCACTGTATTAGATTCCAAGGATACAGCAGTTAGTAAAATACATTCCCTTATCCACAAAGAATTTACAACCGGCAAACTCCTAACAAAAATAATCATTATAATGATACCTTCCATGTAAGGATGTTCCTAAGCCACCACCACTACTATCACTACCCTATCCTCCCCTGCAGCCTCCCAACACAAAGCATTCAGTTGATACCTCTGCTAAGTACTTGCCATAGTTAAAGACTACAGGTAGGGGTGAGTTTTACCCTACCTGTAGTCTTTAACATACCTGTTCTACTAGATTGTACACTAGAAGCACGATATCTCCAACACTAGAACATAACAGGTGTTCAACAAATATTTGCTGAATAATGTTCAATTCATATCCATATAATAAATGATATAGTTAACCAACTTTCAATCGACTTGTACAATATTCCAGTCAGCGTTGGTCATTGGGGATATAAAAAGAAATAAGCCACAGCTTTGCCTTCAAAAGAACCTGAATTAAAAGAACCCATACATATAAAGCAAGCAAGTTCAATAAAATGTTACAGAAGTGATGACTTTTTTTTAATGTGTATGAATTAGAAAGGGGGAGGAAATAAATTCTGACTGGGTCAAGTAAAAAGGGAAGTGGTCAGGAGTTTCGTATAGAAAATGAGTTTTGAGTTGCCTTAAAAGAAAACCAGGTGTTCACCAGGTGGACAGGATGGGGAGGAGCATTCCTGGCAGTCCAGGCAGAAAGTGCAGCATGAACAAGGCGAGTCATGAAACCATACAACATGTTCTTTGGAACTAAAAATAGTTTAGTATAGCTGGAGTGTATTGTATAAAGAGAGACTCAAGAAGAAAGAGGAGCTAGGAAGTAGAAAAGAAGGAACTAGATCAGGGTGTCTTATTTTTTATTCTAAGTAGGGGGAACTATTAAAGTGTTTCTCGGAGTGGAAATAATTTGTTCACATCTGGAGTTTAGAAAAAATTCTAGTAAAGACAAGGACAACAATTTGAATACAGTAAGATTTTGAGCAGGGAGAACAACTAGGAAGCAATAACAGCAAACACTCAGGCCAGAGTAGATAAGGAATCAGTAAAGGTGATAGACACTGAGTGGTGTCTAAGGTGAGGTTAAGGAGGCAGGGCCAAAAAGTCTGGAGACTGGATTGACGAAGAGAGTGAAGCAGAAGGAAAATTTTTGATTAATGCCCACTTATGTGGCAGTCACTGAGATTTGGAAAATCAAGAGAGAAGCAGTTTAGGGAATAAGTGTACTGAGTTCAGTTAGGACGTTCTTTTGTTTATTTGTCTGATTTTTTTTTTATTGTAACAAAATACATGTAACATAAAATCTACCATCTTAACCATTTTTAAAAAATATATCTTTATTGATTTCAGAAAGAGGAAGGGAGAGGGAGAGACTTGAAACATCAATGATGAGAGAGTCATCGATTGGTTGCCTCCTGCAGTTCTCCAACTGGGAATCAAGCCCAAAACCCGGGAATGTGCCCTGACCAGGAATCGAACTATGATCTCCTGGATCCTAGGTTGATGCTCAACTGCTGAGCAACGCCCAGCCAGGCCTTAACCATTTTTAAGTGTACAATTCAGTAGTGTTAAGCATTTTCACACTGCTGTGCAACCAATCTCCAGAACTTTTCATCTTGTGAAACTGAAATGCTATACAGTCTATCCATTAAACACCAATTTCCCAGTTCCCCCTCTCCTACCCCTGGAACCATCGTTCTATTTTGTGGTTCTATTAAGTGACTACTCTATATACCTCATATAAATGGAATCATACAACATTTTTCTTTCTGTGACTGGCTTATTTCACTTAGCATAATAACCTCAAGGTTCATCCATGTTCTAATATGTTTCAGAATTTCCTTCCTTCCATTTCTTGCTCTCAGATGTTATGGAAGAGTCAAATTAATTCCTGTTACAATTACATGCTTAAGATAATCAGATTTACCTTATTTATATGTGATTTGTATTTCACTAAAAATAGCCAGCTATTATTTCCCATTCCTCATAAAATCAAGCATATCTCCCTTTACCTTATTTCTAGGTCCTCCAATGCAAGACCAACTTAAGGATTTACTAAGCACTTTCCATGTGATTGACACTGAAAGACAGGATCTGCTAACTACAGAAAAAAAATTGTTCTCACTCTTAGTGTGCAGTTTATATAACAGTGTAGATGTAATAGGAGATGATAGAATTTTCCAAAAACAATTAGCAATATAAAATTTAGTGTTAAAATATGTAAGAATATATAGGAAGATGGATAATTGGGGCTTAATTGCTCACAGAAGTATCTAGAGAGAAGAAAACCTCTGCACGTGTGCAGTTATTCAGGTTGTTTAAAGGACAAAAGGTCGAAACCATAACCCATCACCTGCTTGCCACTAACTTAACAAATGTTTTGACATTTAAAACCTCCTTTTAGTTTTGTTATCCTCCCAAGAAGTGGGTGTAAAATTTTATTTTAATATATTGATTTACTGATGATGAACCTTGATGATTTACTGATGAGGAATATTGAGATTTAGGCAACATATTTAAAGTTGGCACCAAAGTGCACAGTTGGGCCTAAATGACATATTCATTCAAAACACATCTGAGTACTTGCTATCTACTAGATACTGAACAAAGCACTTTTATTCGATCTTTAACTCTTGTACTCTTGTCATCATTTAAATTATTTACTAAGCATTTCCTTTCAGTAATTCTGAGAGACAGATATATTAAAACTGATGCTTTGTTGTTGTTGTTTTTGCCAAGAACAAACAGATCACACAAAAAATAATAAAATGGAAAACAAATATATCAGAATACATAGAGTATTGTAGTTTGGTAAGGTCATAATTTTATACAATATCTTCAAACTACCTATTTTGAAGTGTCCCCTAATGAGTAGGGAGATAAAGACACTTTTAACTAAGGAAGCTTGTCCAGACAAGGAACTCAATTTGAAAGCAAGCAGGAAGAGGACTTCTAAGACTGGCTATTAGTGATTTATGGGCTTCCCTGCTTGTGGAAATCTTACTTGCAAAGCTTAGCTCAAATGCTACCTCCATGAAGGCAATTCTAATGCATCAATTGTTATTCAGTGATTCTTCAGTTTAACTAACTCATTTCAGGCACCTGGAAGGAAAAAAGGCTCCTCAGCAAAAGGCAATTGCTGTACGAAACCACCAAACTTCAGTACTGGCTCATGGAATAAGTAGAACTACAAGTGATTGCCTTATTATATTTCCAAGCAGAATGTAAACCTTCATTCCCTTACTGTCAGTAAAGGGCAAGATAATCCTTATCACCACGTGACATATTGTACACTTCGGTGTATTGGCTGTCTCCTTATTAGAATAAAATTTTCACAAGAGAAGAACTTTGTTTTTCTCACTGTTGAACCTACATAGCCTAGAAGACACTTGGTAGACCCTACATAAATATTTATTGAATAAATAAAAAAATGGGAGATAAATTGGAATTTAGGAAAGATTTCACAAAGTTGATTATATCTCAACAGAGTTCAGAAGGATTCAGAGATTATCCCAAACAGGTAAGGGACACTGGGAATAGGGGATAAAAGTGTGCTCAAAAGTAAGGAGGATTAAAACCACATGATTTTTCTAAATTAGACAAAATGGTGTGGTATTGGTAAGATGTAAACACTTTGTGCTTCTTTTATAGCTTGTCCCTTGTAGGACAGCTAATTGTTTACCACCTTTTCACAACAGGGAGCTCTTTAAGCACAGAGGCTATGTTTTAGTTATATATTTATTTTCAAATTTCTTAAACAGCAGGTATTCAGTAGTTGTTAAATAAATAAATGGAAAACTATTGATTTGAGAGTAGGAAACATTGATTTTCAAAACTAAAATGGATTTCTTTCTGTTGAAAAGTGTCTTGTTTGAAAACTTTAGAACTGAAAGGGACTTTAGAAATCATCTAATTCAACTTTCCTAGTTCATAGATAAGAAAACTGGAGCATAGAAAGAAAACTGAAGCATAGCTCCTGAGGTCAGGAACCAGGTAATTATAATTAAGAACTAGAACACCCGTGGTGACCAATCATGTGTCACCTTCTTGGAAGACGTGTTCTCAAAAGTGGCCTGAAAATCTGGCATTATCTACTAAAATAACTGCTGCACATACTTTATTATCTGTCTTGGAGAAATACTTGTACAAATCTGCAAGAAGTCATTAACAAGGATCTTCACTGTAGGGTTTTTTGACGTGTTAAAGTGAAGAGTTGAAATCAATCCAAGTGACATCATCAGAGAAATAGCCACACTTACTTTACGAGAGCCATGCTATGGAATACTATGAAGCACTTAAAAACGCACGTAGTTTGATATATCTACTAGCATGAAAGGATCTTCAAGCCACTCTTGCGCTAAAAAGAAAAGTAATCTACAGAAAGATCCATACTGTACTGTACCCTTTAAGGCTCATTAACCTCAGGTTCTCCCACTGAAACAATCCAGTCACCTGAAGTACACGTGTGGAAAATTTCAGTGATTCACAGCAAACAAACAAGACCTACCTTGAAAGGACCGTAGCGGGTTAGGGGGTGTTCGACCTTAACTGTAATGCTTTGCTTTAACAAGGAGAATGCATTATTCATATATTATTTTGCTTTTGTTTGCTGTTAAAATTAATCTTTCAAGAAAGTAGCCATGAATTATGATTTCTTACTTAGCAAGAAACAGGGGGCTGATAGGTAATTATACTGTATCAAGGCTGATAACAACGTACGAAGAATAAAATAAGGCCTTTCGGAAGATCAGGAAACAGAAGACGAGGCTGAGCAGACAAAGCCTCTGGGGGAGGGGAGGGAGCGCCCGCCGGCCCGCGACCCGTCCCCGAGCAGCGGGTGGGGGAGGGGCCGCGAGTTGACGCAGGAGGGCTCCGGAGAAACCCGGGCTAACGAGGCTTAGTGGGATTCCGTGGGGCGGGGCTAACTGCGGCGCGCACGCGCAGCGAGGCCCAGGTGCCGCCGCCGCGGAAGCGAAGGCACTTACGGCTACCGCGCCGCTCGAAGGCTCCTGCGCATGCGCAGGCGGGCCGAGGCTGGAATCGTTGCAGCCTCAGCCACCGCGGCCCGGTCCAGTGGGTTGGAGTCTCGCGCTTTCGTCGTTCGCTCTCTGGCGGGTTCACGCCTCTCTGATGTCCTCCGGCAGCGAGGCTGGGGAAGGGGTTGGAGGGGGCTGTTGACCGCTGCCTTTAAGTTGTGCTCGGGGCGGCCATGTCGGCCGGCGAGGTCGAGCGCCTAGTGTCGGAGCTGAGCGGCGGGACCGGAGGGGATGAGGAGGAAGAGTGGCTCTATGGCGGTACGGAACTTCCTGTCCTTTCTCTCTCTCCCGGATTCTCTCAGGCCTACCCTCCCGGCCCGCAAACGGTCGTCCGCCCCGGCTCCTCGCGGCCCCGCCTGGGGCCTCTCGGACGGAACCTGGTTCGGCCTAAGTCAGGCCCGGCGCGTTGTGCGCGCTCCCCAGCCCGCCTCGGCCTCCTCTTGCCCAGCCCACACCCCCAAACATGCCCGCACCCCGCGACGCCGGGTCTGGGGCGCGGGGCCTGGCCCCCGCCTCCCTCCGCCCAGCCGGGGCTGCTCGGCCCCTTTGCCTCCGCGCCTTTTATTCTTGTTTTTCATATCGATTCTGAGCAGTGCTGGTGTGTCTCTTCAAGCCCCTTGATTGTAGGATGCCCTTCGTGTCCTTTTCTTTAAGCAACAGTCGTTCTGTAATAGCTAAATAAAGTTGATGCTGTAAAACTAACGTCTTGTTTCTTGATGGTCAGTTTGTATGGAATGCACCTGCAAGGGTACCTCCTTGTCTGAAAGGCGTGCTTTAAAAATAATTAATTAAGAGAGAAAGAAAGACATGGAATACATTATGGCCCATAAAGAAAACCCCGAATGTCTCCTGTGTGTATGAAGGTGAAGTTTTTCTTATTTAAGAGACTGCTCTTTTACCTACATCATAGAAGTAACACATGTCCCTTAGGCTTACAGTTTTCAGTATCATTTTATGTATTTATTTTTTTCTAAATAAATTTAATGCATCTTGTATTTCTGTTTTGAGAGGGACTTGTTTAGACAGTTGTTTTTTTTAACTTTTATTAAGTCACAGCCCCTTCTTGTTTGTTACAAATATTAGATTTGAAAATTAATATTTGTACCTTGCCAGAAATGTATGGTCTTGATTGTGTTTAGAAGAGTATAGTAAAAGTCTAAGTTTGGGCACCATGTACCTAACTCCTTGATGATGTGACTTTGACAAACTTTGATTTTGATAAGCTTGTAAAATAAAATAATTTGTCTTTGGTGCCAAGATATAGTATTAGTAATACTCTTTGAAATGTAAATATGTAGGGTTCCTTTTACAAAGATCTAGATGCTTTTAATACCTCTTAAGTTTATTTTTATGGAAGTCTGACTTTTTTATTTTTCATAAAAGACATATCTTGTTAAGTCATTATAAGGTGATCTAACTTTGGATGTGCTTATAGGCCCATGGGACGTGCATGTGCACAGTGATTTGGCAAAGGACCTAGGTTAGTGCTTGTGATGATCACTTCAGATTTTCATACTACTGGTTTCTTTGAGTAGTTTGTTTAATTTTATTTATTTATTTATGTGTTTTTTTTGGTAGATGAAAATGAAGTTGAAAGGCCAGAAGAAGAAAATACCAGGTTAGTGAAATTTCTTGTTGATAACACTGATCGTGTCATACAGTGGTTCTATCAACCATTTGTCAAAATTATTTCATTATAATCGTTGGTTTGATTACATTTTGACTAAAGGTTGGGAGACATCGAATCTTTGGGAGTTTATTCCTATTTCAGGACCTAATCTCATACCAGTCTGTTTATTTGTAGTAGCTTAGGAGACAAAGATTTTGAAGTAAGGATTTAAATACTTTTCAGTGTTAAATAACTTCCTCTTAAGTGGAGTATATAGTATAACCATGAGACTGCTAAGAAAAGAGTTTTAACTTATAATCTTAAATTACTACTTTCACAATATTTATGATGGTGTAATGCACTTTTGTTATAATTTCAACATTTTGTATTTAAATGCAAAGTAGGATTAATGAATTTTTTGTAAGATTAGCTCCCTTTTTTAGATTACTAGAAAAGCAGGAGTATCGTTTATAGAACATGTACAGGCAGCCAGAAACTGAATTCTAAATTTTAAAACAAACGCATACAAGTTAATGGATATGCTGACTTTACTCTGACCAGAGGCCTTAGTATTCTGTAATGGGGAAGGAAGGGGTGGTTGAAAAAGCCACAGCTTTTAGAGAATATTTGGTTTTAATAAGTGGAGGAAGTAGTACCTCATACTTACTAGGATGACTGTAATAAAAAAGACAGCAACAGGTGCTGGTGAGGATATGGAGAAATTGGAACCCTCATACACTGATGTTGGGGTTGTAAAATGGTGCAGATACTTTGGAAAACAGTCTGGCAGTTTCTCAAAAGATTAAACACAGAGTCACTATATAATCTAGGAATACCAATCCTAGTCTTATACCTTAAGAGAAATGAAAACATACATCCATGCAAAAACTTGCACAGTATGTTCTCACTTAACAATGTCGTTAGGTTCTGCGAATTTAAGTGAAACTACCTTTAAAAAGACCAATTCTGCCATAGGCTAATTGGTATAAACAAAGTTATGTTCCTAGGCATCTCATCAGCGTTGTAACAAAATGACATTGAACGAAAGGATGTTACTTGAGTTTCTGCTTGCTGTACATGAGTGTTCATAGCATTATTCATAATAACCAAAAAATGGAAATAACTTATGTCCATCAAATAAGGAATGGATAGAGAAAATGTGGTATATTTATACACTGGAATACTATTTGGCAGTAAAAAGAAATGAAGTATTTGTGTGTTGCAGCATGGGTGAATCTTGAAAATATGCTAAGTGAAAGAAGCCAGTCACAAATGACTACATATTGTATAATTTTGTTTATATTAAATGGGCAGAATAGGTAAATTCATAGAGATACCAAGTAGTTAGTGTTTGCCCAGACTGAATACAGGGCAAAATGGGGAGTGACTAATATATACAAGATTTCTTTTTGGGGCGATGAAAATGTCCTGGAATTAGATAATCGTTATTGTTGCACTATTTTGTAAACTTACTAAAAACCATTGAGTTGCACATTTGAAATGAGTGGATTGTGTGGTATATGAATTATATTTCTTTTTTTAAAAAATATATCTTTTTTGATTTCAGAGAGGAAGGGAGAGGGAAAGAGAGAGTTGAAACATCAATGATGAGAGGAGTCATCATTGATCGGCTGCCTCCTGCACACCCCGACTGGGGATTGAGCCCGCAACCTGAATTATATTTCAAGCTGTTACTTAAAAAGAAGTGAATGGAAGGACTAAGTGAAAAGTAGAAATAGAAAAGCTTTGGGGATGCTAAAATTAGACTGTTCTTCCCCACTTAAAACTCTCCCTTGTATTGGAAGATGGTTTTTAAAAACTCATTGCTGTATTTGAAATTTTATCATCTAGTTTTTAAATGTATATATGCCCAACCCAGCTTCTAATGCTGATCTTAACCACAAAGTGAGGATTTGTGTAATTTATAATTTGGAAAGTAATTAAATATTTCTTCATGCCCTGTTTTTCATTTGGTCAAGAAATTAATTGAGCCCAGCCGGAGATCGGAGATCGGAGATCGGGGTTCGATTCCTGGTCAGGGCACATGCCTGGGTTGCAGGCTCTATCCCCAGTTGGGGACCTGCAGGAGGCAGCCCATCAACAACAACTCTCTCATCATTCACGTTTCTCCCTCTCCCTGTCGCTGAAATCAATAAAAGATATATTAAAAAATAATAATAATAATTGATTCACAACTAAATACACTTTTTTTTCAATGTGTGTCTATTGAGTTGAGGGAGAGAGATAGAAACATCAATGACGAGAAAATCACAGATCAGCTGCATCCTGCACGCCTGCAACTGGGGATCGAGCCCACAACCTGGGCATGTGCCCTGACTGGGAATCGAACCGCAATCTGGATCATAGGTTGATGCTCAACCGCAGAGCCATGGCTGCCGGACTAAATACACTTTTTTATGAGCTAACTTTTATTCCATTAACTTTTGTTAATATTAGTTTTTGGCTACAATTCTTGAAGTTTATTTTCTGATTGAGCATTCTTTAGTTTTAGTACACAACTTGATTAAATTTATTGGAGAGAGGCCTTTTGCCTTCCCTGTGCATTACTGTCAAAATGGCATTATATTCCTTAATAAAACTTTATTTGGAGAGTTATTAAATTTATTTCATCCTGTGGAAAAGATCTACCCTTAATATTTTTATTTTTCTAGAACATGTTTATGATTTTGTCATGTTTTTAGCATTTTAATGGTGATAGAGAATTAAAACTTCTAAAAGTTCATTGGGGAAGAGAGCACCAAAGTGTAATTCTAGTATCCAGCTTGATATATCATTGCATTGCCCTAAGTGAGCTGAGTCCTTGTTATTAGAATATTCCTCTGCTTCTTTATGACTGGTGAATTGTTAAAGCCTCTGTTCTTAACCATTGCATTATACTGTCTCCAATTCTCTCATGTTTTATCTGTCTGTGTTTTGGCTAACCATACTGTTTTGTGACATAAACAAGCTGAACTTCTATCTGGCTACCTAGAAGCTTATTTAAGCAGGAGGTAAATGTACTGAAGAAATATAGTTGCAGGTTTGTTTTCTTGAGTTAAGCAATAGAACAGTGAAAATATAACAGATAAGCTATCAGTGTTTATCCTTCATTTTACTTTATTTGGAGATTGTATTAAAAATATCAAGGTAGAAATTAAATTGATTTATATTGAAACTGCTTGACATAGAGTGAAGTTTAGGAAATAGCAGAAATCTCGTGAGTTCTTTGAACTGAGTAATTGTTAGTTGCTTTGTACTTGCATTTCCTCATCTATAAAATGAGGTTAATGGTTAATTCCCACTATGAAAATTATAATTATTAAAAATATAAACCAATTACGCTACAGTACTAGAAGGTTTTTTTGATTGGTAATGGCCATATGCTTGAGATAAGATACTTGAGAAGAAGATAATATGAGAATAAGAGTGTCTTATTGTTGTGTCGATTTTGTTATAACGGCAAATTCAGGTGTTAACTGGCCTTAAAAAAGTAATTAGTCTTTTAATGCATTAAAATTAGTCTGCAGCTGTCATTAGTGTAAAATTGGAAAGCAGTTTTAAATGAAGATAAACTTTTTTATCTTAAGATTTATTTTTTATACAATAGGGAACATACATTCAATAAAATGATGATGAAACAGAAAGCCAGGAAGAAGCATGTATATTAACTGAATACTAAAAGAGTTAATGTGATCATATGACAAATCTGAAAAGAGGAAACTTACTTAGTCCTTGACAATTACAGTAGTACCTGGCACACAGTGGAAGTTCAGTAAAGATTTAGGATAAATGTGATGTATATTTTAAAAATGAAAAAAAACCCCACACAACTCAAATTATAGCCCACCATCAAATTGTAAATTTGACATCATTAACAAATTGTGGAGGCAGTTCCATTCTATTTCTAATGTTGAGTAATTGTTTTATGCAAGGCATGAGGAATGGAGTAAGACGGGTAGGTAGTTTTTACCATCCATTTTTTTACTATCTAGTGGAAACAATTTTAGGAAACTATCAGACATAGTTTAAAAATACTAGTGTACCTTATCTGTACTTCTCAAAACTAATACTAGGTATGTGTACTTATTTTTGTTTGTAGTGCTAATAATCCTCCATCTGGAACTGAAGATGAAACTGCTGAGAACGGCGTAACTAAACCGGTAACAGAAGGCTTTGAAATCTAGTTCTTTGTTTAAAATCTTTATCAGTAGTTTTGCCTTCACTTAGGAATAAAGCCAAAATTTAATATGGCTTTCAGTATCCTGCTTGATCTGGCCCCCCTTACATCACCTATCTCATCTGGTACGCTCAAAACCATAGGAAAGAGGAGTAGTGGGAAGATTTCAGGTGAAATAGGGCATGTGCAAAGGCTTTGATGTTTATTTCAAGGAACTGAGTGGTCATAGATCATCTAAAGGATGGGTGGGAAACGTATGGCCTGTGGGCCTGGCATGGCCGGAGAAATCATTTGGCCTGGCCCTGACAAGGCAACTGCAGGCGGGACTCAAAATTCAATAAATCTAAGAGTTTTTTTCATAGCTAATTTTTAAGTTAATAATCTTGGATGGCCCGAGAATGATGTTACAAATATCCAAATGGTCCTTGGCAGCAAAAAGTTTCCCCACTCCTGATCTAAATAGATCATACCCTGATTTTCAAAGCAAATGTTTGAGTCTTGAAGCCTAAATTTGATTGTCATGTTTTTTAGAAAAAAATTTTTTTGTATAAGTGATAGTATTTGACCTCATGCCTGTTGAAAGTGATGTTTCTTTGGGGGTGTGAACGTATTATGGGCCCTATGACTATTTTTAACATTCTAACACCCCCCATTGTTATTCAGCAAGCTTGAATTTGTATACAAAAATTATTTTGCCTAGGTTTTCTATTTTTTAAATTTAATATTTGACTAAGCATAACATAGCCTTTTAGAGCCAAAACAAACCTTTATAAATGGTCCTACTTTTACTCATAGAAACAAAACATTTCCTCGACTATTTGCATGCAGGGCCTCTCCTAGGTGTAAATGAATTCCAGGAATAAGTGAGCTGCTTCTTAACTATTTGTTACTTTTTAACCATGACACTGATTATTAAAATTGTTTTCCTCTTAACTTCATTTTTTTTTCTTATCAAGAATTTCTCAAATACTTTTTTTATAATTTTATCTTATTATCTTAGTAAATTGCCTTAGATCTTTTTTGTAAGAGGAACTGTTATGGTAGAAAGAGACATGAGGCACTATTTAAAAAAAGATGGCGAAAAAAGGTTTTCATTCTTACCCTTTTTTTTTTTATCATGTAAAGCATTGATGTTATAAATGAGTTGAAATAAGTAACAGTTCTGTGAACTTGTAACTGTTTTGTGTAGAATTATAGCTTAATCACAAAATGGTTACTTTTTCATTTATTCATATTAGATGTTGAAATGGATTATTTAATGTATTTTATAATTGTTTATGTTGGTATAGAAAGTGACTGAGACTGAAGATGATAGTGATAGTGACAGTGATGATGATGAGGATGATGTTCATGTCACTATAGGAGACATTAAAACAGGAGCACCACAGTATGGGTAAGTTCTTTTTAAGTAACAATTTTGTGACTAAATCAAAGGTAGTGTGCCTATTGTTTTTACATTTTTCCATCTTACCATGATATGAAAGAACTCTTGTTAAACTTTCTCCATGAGTTGCCAAGAGAATAGATCTTAAAAATTCTCATCCCCAGAAAAAAAATATTTGTGACTATGTGTGGTGGTGCATGTTAACTAAACTTTGCAATTTAAACATATCGCATCATATTTTAATTGCAGCTCATGATAAAAGGGTATTTCACCATGAAAATAATTCTTTCCTAAAGATAATTAGGTAAAGTTATATGGAAGCAGCAGTATTTTTGATTCCTGAAGTTAAAGTGTTTTCATAAATGAGTACAACAAATGCTTTGGTTAGAATTAGAAAGCCTTAAATTGCAGTTTGCATTTGTATTCTCTGATTTTATTATCCAAATCTGAGTTTAGGTTTGTAAATTGTTTTAATAGAAACAATATAAGTATTTCTCATAGTGTTTTTTTTTAAGTTGTTAATTATCCTGTAGACTTTTTAGGCCAATGTGTTGTCTCATGTTTCATAGTTGGTAAAATTCTGAATCAAGTGAACTGGGCTATCATTGACTCATTGAGCACATGAAAAATTTTACAGAAATATCGGAAGGCAATATATTAAAGTATAGCTTGTGATTTTGTTTTGGTGGTAGAATAAAAGTCAAGGTCGTCTTTGGTGTTTTTCAGATTGGATGTATAATGTAGTTTTGCATTGGGAAGATAAAATAAACTTTTCATTAATCGTACTACATAGTTTACTAAGCAGCCTTATCTGGACTCAACCAGTATATATACAGTACACATAAGTACTTTTGAATACTGGGTAGTCAAAAGTAGGTAATTAATGATGATGATAATGATGATGATAATACAGTAATGAATAAATAAATAATACAAGAATAAAGTCTTTTGTATATTCACAAGTTTTGCCCACCCTTGCATTTTATCTCTTCAGTAGAGCCTTTTCTTTTTCAGAAGTTATTTATTTTAGGAAGTCACTTTTGCATTATAATGACTACCTGTGTAATTTTAAAACCCTAGCAATTTTTTGGGGAGCAGGGTTGAGAAGAGACTAAATTATTTATGTTAAAGATAGATAACTCTTTTTTTTAATGTATATATCTTTATTGATTTCAGAGAGAGGAAAGGAGAGGGGGAGAGAGAGAGAGATAGAAACATCAATGATGAGTCATTGATTGGCTGCCTAGCCCAAAACCCGGGCATGTGCCCTGACCGGGAATCGAACCCTGATCACCTGGATCCTAGGTCGATGCTCAACTGCTGAGCTACTCCCGGCCAGACGAGATAGATAACTCTTGAAGTTCTCCTCATCCCCACTTAAAGTAAATAGTATTGGGCTGGCTTATAATGTTAGCAGACCTCTGTGCTAATAGGCCTTTTACCATCTTCATTATGCAAAAGAAACACTTTGGTATAACAGCAGTACTCATGGCATATTTAGTAAATACTTTTATATAAAATTATTTGTATTTGCAAGTATAGAAATCAGTGGTGATTTCTTTTAATATGACCAATTTTTGGTAGGAATCACACGCAGATATTAAATGCACATAGACTCCCATAGTACTTTATGTGAACTTTATTTCTTACAGCAATTTCAAGTTTCATGAATTCTAGTTATGTTTATACATGGTTAGGCTCTAAATTCCTTAAGAGCAGAAATCTTGGTTTATGAATTTTCCTATTCCTTATATTGCCTTACATGTAGTAAATATTCAGTAAATGTTTATTGACCAAGTAGACTTGTGTATTAAAACAGTTGTCTTTGAACATTTTTCCTCAACATTTGATTATGAAAATTTTCAAATATTCAAAAACGTTGAAGGAATCGAGGTGTGAATACTCATTCACCCATTACCTAGGTTGCACAGTTTATATTTGCTATGTTTGTTTTATTACATATACATATATACATATATGTAATACACATATATACATACATACATACATGGGTAGGAGATACACACACACACCTCTATCTATCCATGCATTTACCTATTCATCAGTTCATCTATTTTTTAATGTTTTTTTTAACCTCATCCAAGGATATGTTTTTTTTATTGATTTTAGAGAGAGGAAGGGAGAGAAACATCTATGTGAGAAACATTGATTGGTTGTCTCCCTTACATGCCCTGACCAGGGATTGAACCCTCAACTTTATTTTTTTAATGTATTTTTAATGCATTTCAAAGTAAGTTACAGATCTTTCTGAAGGGTATAAAGCTTCTTTAACCTTGATATCTCAAGATACATTCCTTGAAAACTGAAAGACAGCCAGTGAGAAAATTAAATTTGGTGACAGTTTATTTTGTGTACATAAGCATATTTATAGAACAAATTATGTTCAAGGAACAATAGTAAATTGGTTTATTGTTAGCTGTTATAAAGTACAAAATAGCATTTTTTTATAACATACTTTTGTTACAAACTTCATTTTATCTATAAGGTAGGAAGAAAAGCTGGCAGGAATAATTTGTCTTATATAGAGAAGTGGGTTCTTAGCTATATCTTTGAGATTCATTTATTCTTTCAGTAAGCACTTTAAAAAAATAT